TTGACCAGGATGGTCTCGATCTCTTGACCTCGTGATCCACCCGCCTCGGCCTCCCAAAGTGCTGGGATTACAGGCGTGAGCCACCGCGCCTGGCGTTTTTTTTTTTTTTTTTAGATGAGTTTCGCTCTTACTGCCCAGGCTGGAGTGCAGTGGCAGGATCTTGGCTCACTACAACCTCCGCCTCCCAGGTTCAAGTAATTCTCTTCCTCAGCCTCCTGAGTAGCTGGGATTACAGGCACTCACCACCATGCCCAGCTAATTTTTTGTATTTTTAGTAGAGACAGAGTTTCACCATATTGACCAGACTGGTCTTGAACTCCTGACCTCAAGTGATCCACCCACCTCGACCTCCTAAAGTGCTAGGATTACAGGCCAGAGACACCGTGCTCAGCCCTGAATTCAATTTCTAAAAGAAATAATTGTACAGGTCACATTTACTGGGAACAAATTAATAAAACTAGTAATGAATAGCCACAAATTAAGCAAAAAATTCTAACAATTTGGAATTTTTTTTTAAACACCAATTTTTCTCATGTGCATGTTCAAAGAGTAAGCAGAGGGAAAAAAAAAAAAAAAAAGCACCAATTTTAGGCCAGGCCCGATGATTCACTCCTGTAATCCCAGCACTTTGGGAGACTGAAACAGGTGGATCACTTGAGGTCAGGAGTTCAAGACCAGCCTGGCCAACATGGGGAAAACCCGTCTCTACTAAAGATACACAAACTAAAGCCGGGAGAGGTGGCTCACACCTGTAATCCCAGCACTTTGGGAGGCTGAGATGGGCAGATCATGAGGTCAGGAGATAGAGACCATCCTAGCTAACACGGTGAAACCCCGTCTCTACTAAATACAAAAAATTAGCCGGGCATGGTGGCACGCACCCATAGTCCCAGCTACTCAGGAGGCTGAGGCAGGAGAATCGCTTGAACCCGGGAGGCAGAGGTTGCAGTGAGCCGAGATCGCGCCACTGCACTCCAGCCTGGACAACAGAGTGAGACTCCATCTCAAAAAAAAAAAAAAAGTACAAAAACTAGCTGGGCATGGTAGCACGTGCCTGTAATCCAGCTATTGCAGAGGCTGAGGCAGAAGAATTGCTTGAACCCAGGAGGTAGAGGCTGCAGTGAGCCAAGATTGTGCCACACTGCACTCCAGCCTAGGTAACAGATAAAGACTCTGTCTCAAAAACAAAACAAAAACACCAATTTTAAATAATTGATGGGTCGGCCGGGCGCGGTGGCTCAAGCCTGTAATCCCAGCACTTTGGGAGGCCGAGGTGGATCACGAGGTCAAGAGATCGAGACCATCCTGGTCAACATGGTGAAACCCCGTCTCTACTAAAAATACAAAACAATTAGCTGGGCATGGTGGCACGTGCCTGTAATCCCAGCTACTCAGGAGGCTGAGGCAGGAGAATTGCCTGAACCCAGGAGACGGAGGTTGCGGTGAGCCGAGATCGCGCCATTGCACTCCAGCCTGGGTAACAAGAGCGAAACTCCGTCTCAAAAAAAAATAATAATAATAATTGACGGGTCAAAAAAGAAAAAAAGACTAATATCTTGGATTACTTAGAAATTAAGATAATGAACACATTGTATAATGGAATCCATGCTTTTAAAGCAGTACTCATAGAAAAAGTATATAAGTAGCTAAATATGCTTTTATTATTTTTGTAAAGTAAAAATTAGTAAACTAAGCATTCAACAAAGATAGAAGACAAAGGAAAATGGCAGAATAAACAAAATCAGAAATAATTAAGGGAAAAAGAACTGTAAATAAATTGAAGAGTTCATTCAGAAATAAAACAGACACTAATATATACACATTTCTGGCAAAAAAATAATTTTTAAAAAAGGTACATCCTCTTGGATATCTCATAAACAATTCAGACTTAACTAATAAAATCTGATTTTTCTGTCAAATAGTTATTTCTTCGTCTGTTTTAAATCTCAACAAATCGTACCACCATTTAAGTCAAAACCCAGGAGTTATTCTTTTAAAAAAATTTTTTTGACTAGGCATGGTGGCTCACACTTGTAATCCCAGCACGTTGGGAGGCTGCCGCAGGTGGATCACCTGAGGTCAGGAGTTCGAGACCAGCCTGACCAACATGCTGAAATCCCATCTCTACTAAATATAAAAAATTAGCCAGGCGTGGTGGCGCACACCTGTAATCCCAGCTATTTGGGAGGCTAAGACAAGAGAATCGCTTGAACCCGGGAGGCGGAGGTTGCAGTGAGCCAAGATTGCACCATTGCACTCCAGCCTGGGCAACAAGAGCAAAACCCCATCTCAAAAAAAAAAAAGGTTGCAGAGGCAGGGTCTCCCTGTGTTCCCCAAGCTGGTTTCGAGTTCCTTGCCTTTGCCAGTCTTCCCACCTTGGACTTTCAAAGTGTTGGGATTACAGGTGTGGGCCACCATGCCTGGCCCAGGAGTTATTCTTCACACCTCTATCCTCCATTCAATCCGCTATCAGGATATGTCTCTTCTGTTCCTGTAATGAATATGTATGGAATCATCTCCCCAGCATTCTCCCCTTTATTTTCACTTGGAAAATGCCCTGTATTCCCACTCAGAAGTACTTTTTCTTTGTTTTCTTTCCTCCATTACTCCTTTATTTTGCTATTTTCCCCTCAGGTACAGATAATTGAGCCAGTCATGCTCATTTATTCACACTGTCATTAACAAGGCATTTCTCATTTTATCTTTTTTCTCTTCATTCCAGTTCCTACTCATGTTCCTTCCCTCCCTCCTTAGGTAGTCGGTCTCATGTGTTAGCTATATGTCTTTGAATATACATGTATCTTTGAATAATATATAGTGTTGTTTTATGTATGTATGTCTTTTAAATGTACCTAATTGATATTGTGTTTATCTCATTCTGTTTCTTTTTCATATTTATGTAAATACTTCTGACTACTGCATACTGTTTTCTTAAATGACCTCATACCCTGGCCACTGGTCCTGGGCCAAGATGGGCCAGAGTCCTTACCCAGAATTTTTTGAACTGAAACTGAGAAAGAAAATTCCCCTCCAATGTGGAAACCATAAAATGTAAAACATACGAGCTGTCAGCAGCCATGTGCCACAGTTCCACATAGAACCAACCGGTCTGCAGTGAAACAGAAGCCGACCTGCAGAGGTGAGAGACTAAGAGCCTGGGAAGCTCTCAAATCCCTGGTTCCAGTTGTTTCTGATGCTCCATATTCCTGCCCTTACCATGGTTTGTCAACTGTTCATGGATTCCATGAGCTAGTAAATCGCAACACCTTCATCTTCTGCCTTCTAAGGTAGTTCAGATTAAATTCTCTCTTCTGCAACTAAGAGGACTATTTACAACATCCAAAATATATCTTGTTTTTGATACTGAGTTTTTTGTTTTCTGTGTTTTTTTTTTGTTACTGTCTACATTCCTAGATGTAGACAGGGTCTACATCTAGGAATGGAATTGCTAGCTCATAGGATGATTCTGTGTTCAATTTTTGAGGAAGCACCATACCTTTTACCATAGAACTATCACTACAGGCACCCGCCACCACACACGGCTAATTTTTGTATGTTTGGTAGAGACAGGGTTTCACCATGTTGCCCAGGATGGTCTTGAACGCCTGAGTTCAAGCAATCTGCCCGTCTCAGCCACCTAAAGTGCTGGTATTATAGGTGTGAGCCACTGTGCCCTGCCAAGGGGGCTTAATTGACATTTATTCGTAAAAATATTGATTCTTCAGGCCTGGCACGGTTTTTTGGGGGCTTTTAAAATTTTTTTTTTGAGACAGAGTCTCACTCTGTCACCCAGGCTAGAGTGCAGTGGCACAGTCATGGCTCACTGCAACCTTCGCCTCCCAGGTTCAAGTGATTTGTCTGCCTCAGCCTCCCAAGTAGCTGGGACTACAGGTGCATGCCACCACTTCCGGCTTTTTGGTTTTTTTTGAGATGCAGTCTTGATCTGTCACCCAGGCTGCAGTGCAGTGGCAGGATCTCGGCTGACTGCAACCTCTGCCTCCCAGGTTCAAGTGATCCTCCTGCCTCAGCTTCCCAAGTAGCTGGAACTACAAACATGTGCTACCACACCCGGCTAATTTTTGTATTTTTAGTAGAGACAGGGTTTCACCATATTGGCCAGGCTGCTCTTGAACTCCTGAGCTCAAGCAATCCACCCACCTCAGCCACCCAAAGTGCTGGGATTACAGGCGTAAGCCACAGCGCCCAGCAATTTTTGCTTTTTTTTTAAATGGAGACGGGATTTCACCATGTTAGTCAGTCTGGTCTCAAACTCCTGACCTCAAGTCTGCTTGCTTTGGCCTCTAAAAGTGCTGGGATTACAGGCATGAGCCACCACACCCAGGCAACAGTTTTTGAGAGACAGGGTCTTGCTCTCTCAGTGGTACAATCATACTCACTGCAGCCTTGAACTCCTGAGTTTTAGTAATCCTCCTGCCACCGTGCCCAGCCAAGGAGGCATATTTGACATTAAAAAAAAATATTGAGTCTTCAGGCCTGGCATGGCGGCTCATGCCTATAATCCCAGCACTTTGGGAGGCTGAGGCAGGTGGATCACTTGAGCTCAGGAGGTCCAGACCAGCCTGGACAACATGGCAAAACCTTCTCTCTACAAAGCATACAGAAATTAGCCAGGCATGGTGGCACGATGCACCTGTGGTCCCAGCTACCCGGGAGGCTGAGGTGAGAGGATTGCTTGAGCCTGGGAGACAGAGGTTGCAGTAAGCTGAGATCATGCCAATGCACTCCAGCCTGGACAACAGAGTGAGACCCTGTCTCAATAAATAAATAATGCCCCCAATTCATTTATACATCTTTACAGTGGAATTTCTGGCAACTTTGATAAAGGAATTCTAAAGTTCACTTGGAAGAATTGATGTGTGAGAAAAGCCAATGAATTTTAGAAAGAGTAATCAAGGGAGAATTTATTAATATAGTGTGTAATAGGAAAAGGAGGCCAGGCGCGGTGGCTCACACCTGTAATCCCAGCACTTTGGGAAGCCTAGGTGGGTGGATCACAAGGGCAGGAGATCAAGACCAACCTGGCGCAGATGGTGAAACCCTGTCTCTACTAAAAGAAAAATACAAAATTTAGCGGGGTACGGTGGCACGCAACTGTTATCCCAGCTACTTAGGAGGCTGAGACAGGAGAATCGCTTGAACCCAGGTGGCGGAGGTTGCAGTGAGCCGAGATTGCACCATTCCACTCCAGTCTGGGTGACAGAATGAGAATCCATCTCAAAAAAAAAAAAAGAAAAGGAAAAAGAATTGGCAGTCTGGCCAATGAAACAAAATACAATAGCCCAAGCATTCATAGAAATTTAATTTTTGATAAACATAGCATTTCAGAGGAAAATGATTCCATCAGTAAATGGTGTGTAAAGATTAAGAAGGCCGGGTGTGGTGGCTCATACTTGTAATCTCAGCACTTTAGGGGGCCGAGGCAGGAGGATCACTTGAGCTTAGGGGTTTGAGACCACCATGGGCAACACAGCAAGATGTCCTCTCTACTAAACTAAAATTTTTTAAAAGTAGCCAGATATGCTGGTGCACACTCATAGTCCCAGCTACTTGGGAGGCTGAGGTGGGAAAACCACTTGAGCCCAAGATTTTGAGGCTACAGTGAGCCACAATTGAGCCACGGTATGCCAGCCTGAACAACAGAGTGAGACCTTGTCTCAGAAAAAAATGTTCAATCACTAGTAATTAATGTCACTTAAAACTACCAGACATAATTAAATTGACATAAAAATGATATAGCAAGGATGAAGAATATAGGCATTCCATTGAAACTGCCGTAGGGAGTGCAAATTGATGTAAGATAGGACCCTGCTAGAGATCCGTTTGGCAGTGGTTATCAAATGTCTCAGCAATGTGCACACCTTTTGATACAAAATACCATTTGGTGGAATCTACCCTAAGGACTCAACAAAAGTACACAAAAACCTAGCAACAAGGCTATCCATTACATCATTATTATAGCCAACAACAACAGGAAAGCCAAATGTTCATTTGAGTTATGTAAAATTAAAATTAAGATTTTTTTTCTTTTTTAAGAGACAGCGTCTTGCTTACATTTCCCAGGCCACAGTACAGTGGCTATTCATAGGCACGATCATAACGCACCCCTGAGCTCAAGCAAGCCTCCTGCCTCAGCCTCCCAAGTAGCTGGGACTACCAGCATGTGTCATTGCACCCAGCTAAATTACCGTGTTTTTGTAAAAGAAGTACTATTAAGTCATTTTAAAAGTTGGATAAATGGGTTGGGAGTGGTGGCTCACACCTGTAATACCAGCACTTTGGGAGGCTGAGGCGGGTGGATCACCTAAGGTCAGGAGTTCAAGACCTGCCTGGTTAATATGGTGAAACCCCCACCTCTACTAAAAATATAAAAATTAGGTGGGTGTGGTGGCAGGCATCTGTAATCCTAGCAACTCAGGAGGCTGAGGTAGGAGAATTGTGTGAACCCCAGGAGGCAGAGGTTGCAGTGAGCCTCAATCGTGCCACTGGACTCCAGCCTGGGTGATAGGGCAAAACTCTCTCAAACAAACAAAGTTGGATAAACGTACTTATTGGCTGGGCACAGTGGCTCATGCCTGTAATCCCAGCACTTTAAGAGGCTGAGGCCGGTGGATCATGAGGTCAGGAGTTCAAGATCAGCCTGGCCAAAATAGTAAAACCCCGTCTCTACTAAAAAGATGCAAAAATTAGCCAGGCATGGTGGTATGCGCCTATAATCCCAGCAATTTGAGAGGCTGAGGCAGAGAATTGCTTGAACCTGGGAGGCAGAGATTGTAATGCGCCACTCTCATGCCACTGTACTCCAGCCTGGGTGACAGAGCAGGACTCCGTCTTTAAAAAAAGAGTACTTGTTGATAACATTAATTGATATTCATATTATTGTCTGACAGAAACAAGTTACCAAGCCTATCAAAAAGTTTTGTCTGCATATGTATTTGGGCCTGGAAAGGTAAACCACTAGATAACAATTGTCCTTAGGTACGAAGGTTTAGTGGCTATTTTTGTGTTAGTCTTGTGTCTCTGTATTTTCAGATTAACTTCTTTCTTTTTGAGATGGAGTCTCGCTGTGTCACCAGGCTGGAGTGTAGTTACAAGATCTTGGCTCACTGCAACCTCTGCCTCCTAGGTTCAAGCAATTCACCTGGCTCAGCCTTCCAAGTAGCTGGGACTACAGGTGCGCATCACCACGCCCAGCTAATTTTTGTATTTTTAGTAGAGACGGGGTTTCACCGTGTTGGCCAGGATGGTCTCATCTCTTGTCCTTGTGACCCGCCCGCCATGGCCTCCTAAAGTGCTGGGATTACAGGCTTGGGTCACTGCACCTGACTATTAACTTGGTTTTCTAATGAACATAGATTCTTTTGTAATAAGGAAAAATAGAGAAACTTCATATTTAACTGCTACAATAAACACAGTGGAAAGTGGAAGGTTAATGTAGTTATTGAAAATTATAATTGTGCCGGGCTCGGTGGCTCACGCCTGTAATCCCAACACTTTGGGAGACTAGGTGGGCAGATCACCTGAGGTCAGGAGTTCGAGACCATCCTGACCAATATGGTGAAACCCCACCTTTAAGAACTTAGAGGAGAAATCTGCTACTCCTCCTCCAGCAGAACCTGTTTCTCTGCCACAAGAACCACCAAAGCCAAGAGTTGAAGCTAAACCAGAAGTTCAATCTCAGCCACCTCGTGTGCGTGAACAGCGACCTAGGGAGCGACCTGGTTTCCCCCCTAGAGGACCAAGACCAGGCCGAGGAGATATGGAACAGAATGACTGACAACCGTAGAATAATTCGCTATCCAGATAGTCATCAACTTTTTGTTGGTAACTTGCCACATAATATTGATGAAAATGAACTGAAGGAATTCTTCATGAGTTTTGGAAACGTTGTGGAACTTCGCATCAATACCAAGGGTGTTGGGGGAAAGCTTCCAAATTTTGGCTTTGTGGTTTTTGATGACTCTGAACCAGTTCAGAGAATCTTAATTGCAAAACCGATTATGTTTCGAGGAGAAGTAACATTTAAATATGGAAGAGAAAAAAACAAGAGCTGCAAGAGAGCCAGAAACCAGAGGTGGTGGTGATGATCCCAGGGATATTAGGCGCAATGATCAAGGTCCTGGTGGTCCACGTGGAATTGTGGGTGGCGGAGTGATGTGTGATCGTGATGGAAGAGGACTTCCTCCAAGGGGTGGCATGGCACAGAAACTTGGCTCTGGAAGAGGAACCGGGCAAATGGAAGGCCGCTTCACAGGACAGCGTCGCTGAAGCTCCACTGTTGGCAGAGTCTTGGCAGTGGTACAATATTCATCATGTTTGCATTCTTGTTAATTTTTTTTTTTTTGGCTTTGGAATGTGACACAGCCTTTTTGATCATTTCTTTGACGTGAAAAGCATCTTTTGGTTATCAGTTAAATTGAGGTGGACATTATTTCCCCATTTTCACAACAGGATTCACATTGTTAATTTATAAATCTAGACTTGGAGAATTAAGGACTGAGAACTGACCATATTTTAAACTATCTATGACAAAATGAACTTAAAAGGACATGCCCACTGAATTCAGATCCTTTGAGTCAAAAAAAAATCTGCTGCTGCACATTTTCTTTAAGTGTTAACTGTTTCTGCCTGTTAATGTTGGGAATACAAATAGTGCAATTTGTGAAATTGGAGAATCTTGCCTTTTTCTTGGCTCCCCCCAAAAACACAAACAAACAGAAACTTGTTATGCACTCATCAAAATGCACTAACGGGGCCGGGCGCGGTGGCTCAAGCCTGTAATCCCAGCACTTTGGGA